TCAGTGCACTGTCGGGGCTCAGGTTCTGCTCCTGACTCATTTGAGCATGAGCCCCAGGCCCCTATACTCTCTGCAGTGGAAAGAGATGACTCCCAGACAAATTCTGATAGAGCAGGACTTTCCAATTTTCAATTTTCAAACTGCCAAAGGCAAGAGGGAACTTGGTTAAAACATGGACCCTATTACATTTCCTTCCTTCCCTTCCTCTCTCCCTCTTCTGTACTCATAAAGCCCTTTCTGGGTGCAGGAACCATCTGCAGTGAAGCCTGCATAAGTCAGGCTGCTGGCCTGGAGTGGCCAATTTCTCAGGGCATATACCACCTATGGCCCCAGAATGCCAGTGGGGTGGTCAGGAAAGGCTATGTGAAAGGGAGAACCCAGCAGTTTTCCTCTGCAAAGGCTGGAGTAGGTGCAGAGAGGGAGACAGGGGAGTGTGGTACATCTTGTGCCTAGACCAGATGGCAGCAGAAGTGGGGACAGGCCCCACTGGTGTGTAATGGAGGGCAGGGTACTCCATGACGTTGCTCAGGAGAGATGCTTGGCAGTAATATACCGAATGGATTAAAGAGCCATGGATTAAAACATGGGAAAACTGACTGTATAGTAGCACTCACTAATCATTTTTAAAACTCTTAGCCACCACTGTATAAGCACATTCTGTAGACCAGGTACTGTGTTAAGTGTTTTATTTAAAACAATCCTCCCAGCCACCCCATCAGGAGCATTTCTGTGTTGCAGATGAGGAATTGGAGGCTGAGCTGTTCCCAGTGTCTTTCCAGTTCCCTTCTCTCCGGGGCCCAGGATTGTCCTGACTGCGGACAGAGTGGGTGCCAGAGGGGAGGGCGGCCAGGACGGGCTGAGCTGCCCAAGCCTTAAAGACAAAGAGCCAGATCATTATCCCCAGCAGGGGCTGACTTGTGTATTTGTGGCTTCTCTGCAGGATGGAAATCCCTTCTAACAGGCATCTTCTCTTCCCAGTGAAATACTTAGAGCTGCCACCACAGTCCTCTGAGCCACCACAGCCCCAGCCACCCAGGATCTGAGGGCCCCTCCCAGCAGCGGGTGTACAGTGGTGCTGCCACGGAAGACCAAGCTCACTTCATTTGGACCTGCAGCTGCTGTACTCCTTTGATACCACTGGCTTCTCATTCTATGTTTTCTGGATGAGCTCTGGGTGTTTGTGAGTTTAATTTCTGTGCCCTGCACACAGGGTGGGGTGCCTGCTGTGCCACGGGCACCCTGAAGAGACTTGGTGTTGAAATCCAGCCTTGGAAGTTGCTGGGTCACCAACTGCCCAAAGGCAGCCTGCCCCAGGCCTTAGTGAGCTGGGGACAGAGACCAAGCTGAGGGAGGGCAAGACAATGCTTATACTTAGGGGACAAGAGACTGATCACAGGATAGTGTGATCCCTGAGACCGGCAGCCCTTGGTGTGACCTCAGAGAGCTGCTGGGGAGCCTAGCTAGCTAGTACCCAGTGCTTAGCACTCCTGTAATGAAAGAACCAGTGAACACTAGGCATTACACACATACAACACCCTGGTGGGGATAGGGGCGGGTGGGTCATTTGGGTCCTTTCCAGTTCCAGCTTTGATGCTCACTGCTGGGCTTCCAGAGAGCTGGTCCACGTGGAAAGTTTTCATTTCTTTAAGTGCAAACATGCATGCCATGATAGACTGCCCTGAGAGTTTAGGAATCCTCTGGAGAAGTAGAAGCTATGACTCTTAGGTCTAATTCCCATCTGATTCCATAGGGGACTGGGTATAGTCTGTAGACTGACAATGTTAGTTTTTAGGAATCATTTATGTACTAGAAATGCTTTTTATCCCGGGCAGGGGAGGTGTCACCCTCCACCCTGCTTGTGTTTGTTTTGCTAGCAAACAGACATCATGAATGAGCATCAAAGTCAGAGCATGCTGTTGCTTGCTCAGAAATATATTTGAGGGGGATAGGAGGGGAGGGGAGGTGAGAGGAAGGATGTTTGCCTGATTTAGTGACATACACCCGACTTGGAAAGTTTGTAGCTACTCTGTCTGCCCTGTTGATGAGGAATGAGCATTGGGTGCCTGCTCACTATGGTAAACACTGGAACTTGGCCCTGGCCCCTCACCTGGCCTGCTGCTGTCTGGTTTGGGCTGGAGTGAAGCTGGCTTCCTGTTTGGCCCACATATGGTCCTGTCCCTGTGAGTTCTGCTGTCAAAGGCTGACCTAGAGTCTAAAGCCACAATCTATTGCTAATCATTTTGCAGTGTCAAAAATCAGTTCTGAAAGCATAATATAGGTGAGCAAGAAGGACACAAGTTCATGTGCCTCTGCCCTGCAAGGGAGGCCTCACAAATTCCACAGGCTGTGTTAGCTCCTTGTCTGCTGTGCTGGGATGAGATGAAACTCCAACTTGTTAAGAAAACAGTCCAAATCTGAACAGGCCCCTTAGGTTATCTAATGCCTGCCTTGTGTTTTCATTTTAGTGCTTTCTTTAAAAACATACTCTTGGGGTGGTAATCAATTGTAGGGTGTGGTTCAGTGTTGTCCTTTGGATCTATTCCCAGGGCAGGCCTGCAGGTCCTAAAATGCCTTCTCTTGTGTGGGGGTACATTGCAGACAAGCCAGGAAGGAGTGTGTGTCTTTGAGGGGGGCATGGAGCACTGAGGATACACTTCTGCATGGTACTGTGGAGGCAGAAAAATCTGACCTCCCTGTGCTCCAGGAGATTGAACAGGGGAGGCATTGGCTGTAACATATGCCTGTTTCCAGCCCCTCCCAGTAGCTAGATTTTGTCACTTTTGCTGGGCTTGTCCCTCCCGAGGATGGCAAGAGCTGATGGCCTCTTCCCCTGACCAGTACTGAATAGGAGGTAGCTATGAAGGATTTTTGCATCAGTGGCTTGTTGCCATGTAGACAGGATGACCTCTGGAGTCAGAGAAGGCAGGAGTTGGAGGGATCACATTAGGGGGTCTGAGTACGAAGACCTGTGAAGCATTTTAAAGGATAAAAAATATGGGCAGCACTTGCCTATGGTAAAATATTTCTCCTCCCTGCCACTAGGAAGTGTAGACATTTATAGAGAAGTATGTCACAACAGTGAGTAGTATGAGGAGTGATGTAGCCTGTGTGTCCCGGCATGGCCAGGCATGGCACTGGTACTAGGCGGTTGGGCTTCTCCACTGGGAGGCCAGAAGCCAGGTACCTGCCTCTAGCTGTTCCCTTTAACTTTAACCTGAGGCTTGTGATGGCAAAGAGCCTGCCATCCTTCAGCTGGTGATGAGAAGTCAACACACTCTGCAAAGCCATCTTCTCAGCAGCAGTGACTTCAGTTGGCAAACCCATTTTATTCCCCCTTAGCTATCTGGGCGCCTTCTACAGAATGCCCACAGCCCGGTGCCCAGACCTGCTCCTAGTGTCTGGCCATGCCTGAAAGGTCACTCAGCTACTCATTTGCAGAGCTCTCATCCTGGGGCAGCAGCGGTTGGGGAGGACTAACACCTGCAGAAGCCTACAGGGCTCTTGTAACTGTGTGATTAACTTAAAGTTGCATGAGCCAGCATGGGCCTGTCCTAGGTGACAGGGGAGATAAAGTGAGTGAATTAGAAGGGTCAATTCAAAATAGCCAATCTGTATCAGCTTAATGTGGTGGTGGGGGGCAGTGTTAATAACTGAGCACATGGAGGAAGGAGACATGGCATCTTTGTGGGGTGAGGTACCCTCCAGGGTCAGACCCACAGAACAGTGCCAGGCCCACTACCTTGACAACCTGGGGGTTAGTACCAGTTCTCTAGGAAGAAGAAATCGAGACTGATCTCAGAATCCCTGGTACTTTTTATGTGCTTGTATTTAAATGTGAATTGTAATCTGTCTTGTCTTTGCATTAAACAAAATGGAGCCTAACAGCTGATTGCCTTGTGATGGCGTTTAAGTCACTTCCTTTGTCAAATGATGCTGTTTGTTTCTTAATTTATGACATGGATCCAACCCTCCTCCATATCCTCCCCAGTCACATGTGTATTTCTCTAGAATGTGAAAGGAGGCTTAGGGTTTCCAGGGGGCAGCCCTCCTCAGGGTACAAGGAGCTAAGGTCTGATGTCAGGGGTAGTGGGGATGACAGAGGCAGGCCCCAGACTCACAACTCTCAAACTCATTACTCTGCATTCTTCAAAGAAAGGCAGTATCTAGGGAGGTAGTATGCAAGGTCTGTGTAGTGCTTTCAGCCACAGAAAGCTGAGCAGGGGGTAGACCCCTGTGCCCTGCCACTCATTGCAGCTGTGTGCAGAATGGCCTGTTTGGGATCAAGTGTGCCCTTGTCATGACCTCGCAGCTGGGCTTAAAAACTGAAAAAAAAAAAAGACAATTTCAGTGTGAGGGTTTTCACATTGATGTGGTGGCATTTTTGTTCTTGTAGTAAAATAGGACCAAGTTTTCAAACCCAAACCCACTAAATGACTTCAATGCAGAGGTTCTGCATGGCCAGCTGAGACCTGGCACAGTGGCTCTCCCAGCCTTGCTACTGGGATGTCACTGCTGGGGACTACAGCTGCAGTAATTGCTCCGTGGAGAGAGACAGGGAACCCAGGCCCTTTAAAGAATGGTGACCTGCAGGGTCACTGTGTTATCATCCAAGCCCCTACAGCCCCCCTGCCGAAGGCCAGCATTCCTTCTGTAGACTTGGGGTGGGGACCTTGGGGCTTCTCAGAAGTCTGCGGGGTTTTAGACTCTAGGACTCATGGCCTGGAAAGAGAGCCCTGCCTCCTCAGCGCTACACCTGACTCTCAGGTGTCTCCAGTCCTTTCCCATGTCCTTAACGTTTTCTCAAGGTACTTACCCATTTCAGCCAAAACACCGAAGACTTATGATAAACTGCACTTACAATTTAGTAGATGAATTAAATCATGTAAAGGCACTTTACATATATTGCACTTGGCAAATAATAAAATAACATGAATTGAATGTTTACTGTTGCTAATTTTCCCCAAGGGAAAAATCTACCAAAATACTTAAAATAAAAAGAATGACAGAGCAAACATCATTTTAATTACCAATTGAAATATAGTGCATCAGATGAGGCAAATAAGATACTGTACCAGTTTTTAAAAATCTGAACCGCAAAGTTTTACATTCTAGTACACTTAAATACCCCCCCCCAAAGAACTGTTTAGGTAACAAAACTATGTTTTAAATTGTTTTAGAAATCGTTTTCTGCAAGGAACATATAAAGGAAAAGGATCTGTATTGCTGCTTTCAAATCGAATGGGAGTTTCTAGGGCTCCTTCTAGGGTCCAGCATACAGAGGAGTGTGAGGCAGCCCAGTCCAGGGCCCCACCCTGCCCCAGCACCAAACTAGCTGAGACAGGAATAAGCACACTCTGCTTCTCTGGTTCTGTCGCAAGGCTCATGTAGTCCTCACCAGTTTTAATAGTCTTAGTGCATCTGGGGCATTAAAGAATATTTCTAGGGGGAAAATGGCAAATGTCTGCATTTAGAAGAAATCAGTGTATCAATGAATAATCCGATTTATCCATTTATAAATAAGCTTTCAGATATGTTGGAAGCGTAAGTCAAAAACTAGTAGCAATTGAACTGTGACTTAGAAACAAATCCCCAGCTAATAAAAACGGAGAATTCATTTTAAGTGATCAAATTACTTTGAAGAAGTACTTCTGATACCCTACAGATACCAGATAATTTTCTGTAAGAATCAGAAAGTTCCAAGTTGAAAAAACATCTGTTCTCTATTTGACTGTAAAAAACCTTTTTTAAGAATATATTTTCAAAAATAAGGTCAATATGTAAGACTTAGCACAGCATCCAGTAATTTGAAACAAACTGGATATTCCAATGCAGTTACACTTGGATCTGACCCTATGAGCTTCTGAGGCCCCTGATTTGAAAGGCAAGCTTAATTCTTGCAGGGAAGGGGGTCCCTTTGACTGGCAGAGCAGCGGGAGGGTGTGCCTGCTGGGGTGGGCACAAATGTGCAAGATTCTGTAACACACCACACAGAGAAGCTCCGAGCTTTAGCACTAGTGGGTGGACCAGTTGATCATAAATTAGTTCCTGCCCATACTGATAGGGGCCTAGAGCCCAAAGTCAGTGAGTGAAGGTGCAAAACTGGGAGGAGAGACCTGGTTGGAGAAGGTTGTCTCTGAGAGGAGAAAACCAAGGGAAGTGCGTGCTATACTTTTGGCAACTGAAGGAAGCCACAGCACAGTGGCTGCTTTAAAATATTGATGTTATCATACGGGTAAACTAAGTTAAAAGGATATTCATACAGGCAGGTAAGGGGTGAGAGCTGACTCACTTTGACACAAATGGCCAGCAGCAAAGAAGCAGGAGGCTGCAAGGTCAGACCAGGAGCTGTGGACAGGCAGCTCCTTAACAGAGTCCGTAGGAAAGCCAGTACCTGCTCAGAGCTGCCAGAGTCCCCAGTTTCCCCTCTGCAAAGCCATCCCAAGGGAACCTGCTGCTATTGCCATCAATGGTCTAGGCCACCTCAGGAAGCAAGTACCAGAATTAAGGTGAAGACAGAAGACAATACCATTTAAATGACCATATTCTAACTGCATTTCAAATATACCACATAAAAGCATGAGTTTTGTTTGAAAATAATGTCTTACACAGTCCAGTTTGGAGATACCTCCTGGGGTGACTGGTCTAAACATAAAAAAAAGACATAGGAAAATAAATGCATATTTGTTTTTTAAAAAATACCTTATATGTACACAACAGTAATTGGTACAGGAGTCCCCTTGCAAGAGAATACTCTAGAACAGAGTATTCTCTGGTCTGTCTTTCCCCCCAGGTAGTTAATTTTAAAACAGTTTTCAAGTTGTAGCAAGGAGCTGAAAGCAGCCCCATGGCTGGCAACATGGTCTGTAAGTGAATGGCATTTGTTTTAATGAAGGAAAGAAATGGTACGAGGCCTTCTTGATCCTAAGCACTACATTCCATTCACTATGGCTTCTCCCAAGCTGCCTGAGCAATAGAAAGTTGGGTCACAGGGTCAGTGGGACAGATGGCCACCCTGAGAAACCAGAAAGGAGAGAAATGGGGTGTTTGGAAAACAAAAAGTACAGGTGACAGTGGGAGCTGTCAGCTAGCCACACACATGATCACTGGTTGGAAAGGCCATCCAGATGTGGAGGCACTAAGCCTAATCCTAAATGACAAGATCACAAGCTACAGCCAGAACAGGTTGCAGGACCCTTGCCTGAGTCACTGGGAGACCCATGGAGCTGCAGGATGGCCTTGATGGCTGAACTCCCTGGAACTGCTGCCCCTGGAGCCCATCAGACTGAGGTGTGCACGGGTGTGACTGAGTGGGAAGGTGAGGAGCCCCGCTCAGAGGGGGACGAGGCTCGAGTGGCCATCTCCCGCTGCAGGTCCTCCACCCTCTTCTGTAGCTCCGCCCTGATGGCCAGCAGCTCCTTGAGATTTTGGTGAATCGGCATCTGGGGGCAAGCAGGACACAGCTAGGTTAGTGAGCCACTTCGGCACTGTTTCTAACATAGCTTTTCAGCATACAGATGCTACTAACTGCAGGTGAGTTTACAACCAAATGGCCTGTTTGTCTGAAGTCTCCAAGCCACGCTACAGGGCCCCCTACCCAGGAGCTGGGGGGCCTCAGATGGCTCTGTGAGGATGCTTGGATGCTTTTGTCACCTGTGCTCTTCTGCCAGCTTGTACAGGTTCTCAGAGAACACTAGTGGCCTCAGGTTTAAAAAAAACAAAAAAACACCAACCTGTGCATCCTGACGAGGAAAGGGGTAGTCTTCCTCAGACTGGTGGGAAAATGCAGTTGGCTTCTGAGATGCCCCAGAGCACTGTTTACATGTATGCCTCCTGCACACACACACACCTCCAACACCTCTGAAGTTCTGCAACTTTAAAATAGCTCTACTGGCTAAACTATACTTCTGTTAAATCAGCACTTTCTACAACTTGAAGTTGTATTCGTTTTCATCACTTGGGATAGGAGCTGGTAGAAGTCACTAGAGAGAGCAGTGCAGAGGGAAGTCCCTTAGGGGCACTGGCTCCTCCCTCCCTCAACACCCACTCAACACCCTCCAGTCTCTTCCTCCTTCCACCCAGGAGGTAACAGCCTGACCTTGGCCTCAAGGCCCAGTGTGGTCAAACCCTAGCCTGCCTGTCCTGCTCACTTCTCACCAGGTCCTACCTACACTCCCCTCTAGCATTCCAGAATCCCCTGTGATTTGGAAGGTCCCATGCATATGCTTTCCCTTCTACCTCTTCACACACATGCTTACTTCATCCCACAGTGACCAGCAAAAATAGCACATGCTCTGGGTGGAAGGCTTTTGGACTCTCCATTCCCACCAAGCCTGTTTGTTTCATCAGGGATGCCAATGACAGCCTGACTGGGGGACAGAGGAAAGGAGGGAGACAGAGATGAGAGGGAGGGACATAAATACAAAAGAGGGGAAGAAGGACAGAGACAAAGGGGTGACAGAGATGAGAGGGAAAGAAAGGCAGAGATTTGAGTGAGTGAGCCAGAGATGAGAAGAGAGGAAGGGAGAGTGCCAGAGAGGAGGTGAAAAATAGGGCAGCCAGGTGCCTCCACCATAGCAGGGTGGCTCACTGACCAGCACTGAAGAGGCTGAAAGTAACCTGGCTTCAGCAGGTCAGAGGAAGAAGGGATAGGACAGCAATGTGGGAGTCTGACAGCAAAGGCCCCTCAAATAAGAGAAAGTTAGGGATCAGCTGCAAATCAGGTGCTGATCCCTAAGCCACTGTGAGATAAAAAAACAGCACCCCTCTTGGTCTTAGGGCCTATTTGGCATTTTCCTGTTTGTGAGGTCATTTGGCTCCAATCAAATGATAGACTGCTTTGCAATCAGGCTCCTGTTACTAACACACATGCAACTTGGCCTCAGAGAACAGACTGTGGGGAATACAAGTTCATACACACCCAGGGACCGAGAGGAACATTATACATCTCTGTGTAGCCTTTCGGGTATTTTATTGTATGTCATCTTTATTGACAATAAGCCAAAGGCATGCTTGCTCAAGAAAATGCACACCCAGGGGCCAGTCACCCAGAGGGTGCTAGCATGTATGAGATACAAGCCACAAGGGTTCCAAAGGACACAAAGTATTTGCTGGTCCCTCCCCCATACCCAGCAATCCTTTGATGGATGCCCAGGAGCCCCTTTCCAGGCAACCAATCTAGCCTGTCCTCAGAAGAAAGAGGCCCAACAAGCTTGTGCCCCCATCTATCCTCCTTGTTCTGTTCCTCCTCCTCTCTGCTCAGCCTGGCTCAGTGCCTTTGTCATGGATACCCACATCAGCCTTGTTGCTGATCCCTTTGCCACAGCCTTCCCCTGCCCCCATTCCCATCCACCTTAGTGCTACCAGAGAGAGTTTTCTAGAACACATACCAGGTCTTGCCCTACAAACCCTGGTGGGGGTAGGGGTAGGGTGCACCCATAATTTCTGGGATAAAGTACAAACTCTTACAGATGCTTTACAAGGCCCTCTGAGGCTTGGGCCTGCAAAGCTCTGGCCCTGGATGTTAGCAAGGCCCACCCCACTCTCCAACACTCTGTGTTCCTAGCACCTAGAAAGTCCAAAGCATGCCTGCTGCATTGAGGATAAAAAGCTGTTCCTCATGGGACTGCCTTCCAGTTCTCCCTTCTGTGTAGCACAGTGCAGAGAGAATGCAAAAAGTTGGACCACTTGCCTACCACCTTTCAAGGCAGGAACTCATTTTACACTCAAGTCCCCCGACCCCTGCAAGCTTTCAGAGAGGCTAAGGACCTTGTCCCACATCAGGCATCAGATCACCATCAGAGACCGAGTCACCACCAGAAACAGTATTTGGCCTTGGCTTAGGTGCAGCCTTCCCTTCTGTGACTGCCTGTGCCAGGGGACCTTGTATGACTGACTGGCCACTAGGGGATGAGTTGCCCAAGGCATGGGCCAATCCAAAGAGGGAAGGGGAAAGGATTTGGGGATCATACTTATGAGGAAGCCTTCTGGAGGCCACAGATGATTGCTAACTGATGCCACAGAGCTAAGGATGTGTGCTCATTGGTACGGGCATAAGCACTGAACATTTGAAATGAGTTACTAATGGCTTACTGGGCACAAATAAAATTAACTTGTATTTAAAACACTGACCACTGACCAAAGAAGCTGACTAAATGTATACTCTTGGTTTTCACGGAATAAAGAGTTGAGACTGTGTCTTTCTGGCTTCAGATGTTCTTTCAATAAAGAAAATATTTTACAACTGTTAAAAGTTAGCATTTTTGCTTCTCAGAAGAGACACTAAACCCAGAACCTGTTTGGTATTTAGAAATGTGCTCTGGCTGCCTTAGTGCAAAAGTCCTCTTACATAAATGTAGAAATGCTCACTGCCTTTACTGCTCCATCCCGTTGTAACATAGGAGGCAGCTAGTGGCCCCTTGCACCATGTTACAAATTTGCATGGTACATGGTAACGGCAGCTGGGGCCCACATATAGTAAATGGAGGGGAGTTTCAGTTCAGGGAAGTTTGCTAAAAAATGTTCTCAGATCACCAGCAATTGACACCATGAGAGACAGAGGGCAGGGAAAGTATTTCCAGAGTCGGAAGGGAGGTGGTTGAGGGGCAGCCTGTAGAGCATGGAGTCCATCAGCCTGGGAGGACGGGGTGGTAGAGGCACAGGTACAGTGAACTCCTGGTTCTAGGGCCTGCTCAGAGAGAAGGACAAGTACTGCATTGAGCATGCCCTGATCATGGTGTTCTGGAAAACAGGCCTCAGGTCTTGAGGGTGGTATGGCTGACTCAGGTTCTAGAGTAAGAAAGGGCTTTTGTAGCTAAAGCTTTGTGGAACAAATGAAATGAACCAGGAACAGGGAAGGACAGGCAAGTGATGAGCACCTTGGGCTGTGATGTTAGGAAGGAAGCTGGTTAGGAAATGAAGAGCAGTGCCATGGGAAGTAGTTTGTATCTCTCAGAGCCTGGAGCAATGTGTACAGTGAGTGAATTTTCCAGTACAGAGGAAAGGTTACTGAAGTGATGGTGCCTTCCAAGTTCAAGTGCCAGGCCAACTGAAAAGAGAAATAACAGTTGGTCTTCCCCATAACTAGTGGGGCTTGGGGATTGTAATGGGTTGAATTATATCCCCCTTATTCATATATGGAAGTTCTAATCCCCTGTACAACAAGTTGTGACAGTATTTGGAGAAGGGGTTTTTACAGAGGTGATCAAGTTAAAGTGAAATCATTAGGGTGGACCCTAATCTGATATGAATGGTGTCCTTATAAAATGGGGAAAATTGCACACAGAAATACATATAAAGGGAAAACGATGTGAAGGGACACAGTGAGAAGACAGACATTTACAAGTCAAGGAGGGAGGTCTGGAGCAGATACTTCCCTCATGGACCTCAGAAGGAACCAACCCTGCTGACAGCTGATCTTGGACTTCTAGCATCCAGAACTGGGAGATAATACATTTGTGTTGTTTAAGCTACCCAGCCTGTGGTACTTCATTGAAACATGCCTGTAGAGCAGGAGTCCCCAATCTCTGGGCTGTGGACCAGTACCAGTCTGGGCCTGTTAGGAACTGGGCAACACAGCAAGAGGTGAGTTTGAATATAATCTGTTTGAATCATCCCCAAATCATCCCTCCCAACTGAGTCTGTGGAAAAACTGTCTTCCACAAAACTGGTTGCTGGTGCCAAAAAGGTTGGGGACCATGGCTGCAGAGACTGTGAAGACACTGAATAAGAGGGAAGGATTGAGAAGGAAGAGGGCAGAGGAGAAAGGAAGATTTGTGTATCTGTGGCCAACGGAAGTGATGATGTTAAAACCCTAGAAACACATTCCAGGTGGACTGCCAGGAAACCCTAAGAATACTACCTCAAAAAAAAAAAAAAAAAGAAGAAGAAAACCAACTTCAAGTTCCAGCCAAGATGGAGGCATAGTAGAAACGCTTTGTTTCATCACCCAACCAAAAGAAGGATAACAACAAATTTAAAACAATAAACAACCAGAAATGCCAGAATAGGAAACTGCATGGAACTCCAACAACCAAGGAGTTAAACTTTCATCCAGACAGGACAGGTGCGGACAGGTGCAGACAGGCAGCCAGGTAGGCAGAGAGGACCCTAGCAAGGTGGCGGCCCTGAGGGTAAAGAGGGGCTGGCTCACCAAGAAACTAGAGACACAAAACTTCTAGCAATAAAATACTCTGGGCATTGTGAAGGTGGGAGAAATGCCCAGTCTCACGGGAGAATCCACTGGAAAGTGGGGCTATTGTGGAGCCAGCAAGGACCATTGTTCCCTCTCTGACTCCTCCCCCACAGAGAGCATCACAACGCAGCAAAGAAGGTTGCCCTGCCCAGGCAAATACTTAAGACTCCAACCCCTTACAACATAACAGGTGTGCTGAGACAAAGAAATATGGCCCAAATGAAAGAACAGGTCAAAACTCCAGAAAAAGAGCTAAGCAATGAGGAGATAGCCAACCTATCTGATGCACGTTCAAAACACCGCTAATCAGGATGCTCACAGAACTGATTGAGCTTGGTCACAAAATGAAGGAAGAAATGAAAGCTACACAAAGTGAACTAAAACAAAATATAGAGAGAACCAACAGTGAAGGGAAGGAAACTGGGACTCAAATTAATGATTTGGAACAAAAGGAAGAAATGAATATCCAACCAGAACAGAATGAAGAAACAAGAATTTTAAAAAATGAGGAGAGGCTTAGGAACCTCTGGGACAACTTTAAACATTCCAACATCTGAATCATAGGGGTGCCAGGAGAAGAGGAAGAGCAATAAATTGAAAACTTACTTGAACAAATAATGAAGGAAAACTTCCTCAATCTGGTGAAGGAAATAGACTTCCAGGAAGTCCAGGAAGCCCAGAGAATCCCAAAGATGTTGAACCCAAGGAGGAACACACCAAGCACATCATCGTTAAGTTACCCAAGATTAAAGATAAGGAGAGAATCTTGAAAGCAGGAAGAGAAAAGCAGGAAGAGAAAAGCAGACAGTTACCTACAAGGAGTTCTCATAAAACTATCAGTTGATTTCTTTAAAGCAACCTTGCAGGCAAGAAGGGGCTGGAAAGAAACATTTGTAGTCATGAAAGGCAGGGACCTGTATCCAAGATGATTGTATCCAGCAAAGCTTTCATTTAGGATGGTAGGGCATTCCCAGATAAAGTGCTTCCCAGATAAGGTCAAGTTAAAGGATTTCATCATCACCAAGCCCTTATTATATGAAGTGTTAAAGGGACTTATCAAAGAAAAAGATAAAGATAAAAAATATAAATAGTAAAATGACAAAAAACTCATGGTTATCAACAACTGAACCTAAAAAAACAAAAACAATCTAAGCGAACAACTCGAATAGGAACAGAATCCCAGAAATGAAGATCACTTGGAGGGTTATCAATGAGGAGGGGGAGAAGGAGAATGTGGAGTAAAAGGTACAGGGAACAAGAAGCATAATTGGGGGTCATAAAATAGACAGGGGTAGGTCAAGAATAGTATAGGAAATAGAGAAGCCAAAGAACTTATATGTATGACCTATGGATATGAACTAAAGGTGAGGAAATGCTGGAGGGTAGGGTGTGCAGGGTGGAGGGGGTATAAAGGGGAGAAAAAATTGGGACAACTGTAATAGCATAATCAATAAAATATACTTAAAAAAAGAAAGCATGAAATAAAAGTTTCAAAAATTGAAGAAAAAAAAACTTCAGCAGAAAGTTACCTGTCCACAGAGGTGAGTGCTCCCTCCACCAATCTGCTCCCCACCTTGCAGACTGGGCACCCATGTGAAGAAGATTGGGGGTGGGGCAGGACTGTGTAGTGGAGAGGCTTGGGGGAGCACCTCAGGAACCCTAACTGGTAGTTTCTGAGCCACAGCCCAAGCTCAGCCACTGAAAACCAAGGGTGACCAAGGCTTGGCTGCCTAGCTTTGATGTGCACTGTTCTCTAATATGTTTTCAATCTCAGAAAATGTTTGAGTGAAAAAGTGTGACAGAAGGAGGAAACTTTATTCCTTCTTCAAGTGGCACCTGTTCTGTGACTCAGCACAGGCTACCTTTCTGCTGTACTACCAGAATCTAGAAACTAGAACCACGATGCATTTTTCAAATATCCCCCCACCAACTCCACATGTGGTACCCTGCATAATTGGTACTGCTACCCACATAAAACCCCTGAGTCATGTTGCTGGGAAGACTAAGTCAAACATGGTAGCTGATAATACTTTATCCATATGCCCATAAGCAGTAGAAGACAGAGGTGTTAAGGTTTTTAACTAAAACCCACCAAATGGCATCTTGATTGATGTGTGGAAGGAACCTACTGGAACATGAACATAAAGGGTTGAACCCTGAGAAGCAAAGGCAGAGGGTCTTTAGTATAATGTTCTAACACCTAGCATGCACCCATTACTGTAACACCATCTTTATTTGAACAGAAAGACATGCTCTTTTGAAAAAAGAAACAAAAAGATACCTGAGGCCTCATTCGTGGATTCCATCGCACATAATAGTTTACCCATAATTCCAAATGACTCAGACTAGCAACAGGATATAAGACGTGGTTTTCATAATTCACAAAGAAGGGATTAGAAAATTCATCAAGCTGGCTATTGATATAAGACCATAAGGATATAGTCTTTGTGGGTACATCCTGAAAAAACAAAAAAGGAATACATTGAAATAAATTCAGCTTTTCTTTATATATTCTCAAGACTTTGTATTACATAAAGAAAAGGATCTGCATCATGAATGAAGCAAGTTCAAACTGAAATTCAGGAACATTTATTAAGCCCCACACCTATCCCTCTGTCATACATTGCCTCATTCAAGGGATGACATGAAAACACACACTGATTACTATCCTAGAAAAATATATTGCTGAATTAGATAACATATGGCAACTGTATCTGCGTGAAGGCAGAATGAGAACTTTCTAATAGCCATGAAATGATCGGGCTCATCCATAACAAATACACTTTAAATTCTGATTTGCAGTTTGCTTTTGTGACTCAATATTAAGGACTGTGGGAAGAATTTATAGATAAAATTCATTTTGTGGAAAACCACAGCTATTTTGTGAAAAACATGCCAGAGTAGCAGGCTGGAGAAGCCTTATATAGAGGAGTAAATGTATCATTAAATTATATCTCCTGACCACCTGATTTTACAGTGCACTGTTTAGAAATACCATAACCATTTACACTGTTCATATGAATGAAAATGCCCAAACCCACAGGCATGGCAGGGCAGCTAAACATTAAACATGGATCAAGCACAAGGACAAAATCAAAATAATAAAATGGTGAGGCCAAGAGCATTTTCTACCATTCTGCTTCTCCCAAGATAGCTGACTTCCTCACAAGGTATCCAGACTCAGAAAAATCAATTAGGACCTTTTTATATTTTTTAATTTTATTTATTGATATTTAGAGAGAGAGGGAAGGAAAGTAGGATAGATAGCGGGAGGGAGAGAGGAGAGCAGGGGGGAGAGAGGGAAAGACAGGGAGGGAGAGAGATTGATTTGTTGTTCCACTTATTTATGCATTCATTGCTCTATTGTATGTGCCCTGACCAGGACCAGGATGGAACTTGAAACCTTAGTGTATTGGGATGGTGCTCTAACCAACTGAGCTACCTTTCCAGGGTGGATTGGACCTTTTCATATTTTATATTTTGTATTTATAAGAGAAACACCACCAATAATTCAAGGGACTCTCAAATCACCAAAACAATCTTGGGGGGAAAAACAAAGTTGGAGGCCTCAACTTTCCAACTTCAAAACTTACTACAAAGGTATAGTAATCAGTACAGGTTGTGCTGGCATAGAAAAGAATACAGAAACAAACCCTCACATTTAGTCAACTGATTTTCAACAAGAATGTCAAAAAAAGAGGGGAAAGATGATACAACTGCATAACCGCATGCTAAAGAATAAAGTTGGACCCTTACTACACAATATACACAATAAGTAACTGAAAAAATAGATCACAAACCTAAATCTAAGAACTAAAAAAACTCTTAGGAAAAAAACCACTGGCCCAAATCTTCATGACTTTGGGTTAGACAATGCTTTCTTAGATTTGACCTTATAAGCACAAGCAACAACAGAAAACATAAATTGGATTCTATCAAAATTAGAGACTTGTTTCAGATGACACCACCAAAAAATGTAAACATAATACAGAATGGGAGAACATTTTTGCAAATTATATCTGATAAGGGACTTTTATATATAAGGAATATATAAGGAACTCTTATAACTCAATAATAAAAACACAACCCAATTAAAAATAGGGAAAGTATCTGTATAAACATTTGTCCACAGAAGATACAAAGATGGCCAAGAAGCACATGAAAAGATGCTCAGCATCATTAGTCATCAGAGAAATGCATATCAAAACCACAATGAGATCCCACTTCATAGCCACTGGAATGGGCAGAATCAAAAAGACAATAAGTGTCTACAAGGATATGGAAAATGGAACCCTTAGACATTGTTGGTGAGTAAAATGTTGCAACATCTTTGGAAAACATCTGGGTTCTTCAAAAGGTTATTATATACTTACCACGTGACTCAGAAATTCTACTCATAGGTATCTACCCAAGAGAAATAAAAACATATGTCCACACAAAATTTTGTACATGAGTGTGCATAGCAGCATTACACATAATAGGCAAAAGTGAAAACAACCCCAAAAATCCATCTGTTGATAAATGAATAAACCGTGGTCTCTTCATAAAATAGAATATTGTTCTGCCATAGAAGTGAATGAAATACTGACACATGCTGCAACATGGATGAACCTTGAACATATGCTGAGTGAAATGAGCCAGTCACAGGACAAATATTTTATGATTCCATTTACATGAATGTCCAGAAGAGGTCAATCCATAGAGATGAAAAATAGTGTTTGCCAGGGTCAGAGGACAGGTTGGGGCATGGGAAGTGATTGCTAATGGGTCCAGGGTTTTTTTGAGGGTGGTGAAAGTCTTATGAAAACTGGTGATGGTTGCACACTCAATATATTAAAAATCACTGATATGTATACACTTTTAAAGGGTGAATTGTGTGCTATTTAAAGTATGTCTCGAGAGTTTTTTTAGAGTCCATTTTGGCAAAAAACATTTAAGAACCTAAGGGTTTAAAATCTACATATTGTACATATGAACTTATTCTGCTGATTTAAAAAAATGGTTTTATTGAGATAAAAGTTGCATCCCATAGAACTAATTGATCCTTTTTCTTTTTATCAAACAGGACCTACTGGAATGTGGATTTATCCTGATCACAGTGGGAAGCCACAGAGATTTCAAGCAGGGAAGAGGCATATGACAGCACTAAAATTTGGGAATACTATTCTGGTTGCTATGTTTAAAGTGGGCTGTTAGAGATCAGAAATGGTGGGAGCTGAGTCTGTTCCTGGACAGCTGCCTTAGTCCAGGTGTGAGATGGTGGGATTTGAACTAGGCTTGTAGCTATAAAGCAGTGAGAAGTGGCTAGATTCAGAATGTATTTGGGGGACAGGGTCAGCAGTACTCATTGATGAACTGGATGGGGCAACTGCAGTGAGGGTGAGAGAAAAATTGAAGATGGCCTCTATATATTTGGCCTCAGCATCTCAAAGGACAGAGGTGCCATTTATTGAGATACAAAAGAGCTAGGGAAGAGCTGGATGGCGTTTAGAGCTCTGAGACAGATGGAATCACCTACAGAGAGAACAGAGTTTGGAATGATAAGAGAACCCATGACTGGGCCCAGGTGACTCCAACTGAATATACCATGGGTTAAAAGGGAGACTGGGTAGGGAGGGCAGTGAGCTGGGGGAGAGCATCATGGAATGAGGGCGTGGTCAAGTGAGAAAGCTGCTGAGAAACAGAGAGGTGGGCACTGGTGACCTACTGTTTTCTCCTAAATTCTATAATGTTCTAACATTAGGTTGGCCAAAAAGTCTGTTTAGTTTTTTTCCGTAAAATAAAAGGCTCATTTTTTATTTTCACCAATAACTTTATTGATTTGGATATTTTGAGTATGTGACTATCTCCCATGTGGTATAATGTTAACTGTTCTCAATTAATGTCTCAATTTGATTGCTATCAACATCAACTGGTCTACCCAAATGTGGAGCATCATCCAGTGAGAAATCTCCAGCACAAAATTTCACAAACCACTTTTGACACATTTGATCAGTCACAGCATTTTCTCCATACACTGCACCAATCGTTTTCAGTGTTTCAGTTGTATTTTTACCTTTCTTGAAATAATACAGCATAATATGCTGAACAATGTTCTATATTTTCTTCTATCTTCAATATTAAAATGGCTACACAAAAACTCTTCAATTTTGGTAAGTTTTTTTAATGCACGCTGATATGACAGCTGTCAGAACACAATCTAACAAAATCGTTTTTGAATGAAATTAAAGACAACTAAGCACTACTAGAGCCCTTTTATGGAAAAAAAAAACAAACAATCTTTTTGGCCAACTGAATACATTTCACCTGCAGATGGTAGTCTTCTTCTGGTATCTAGAGCACACAGTTTAAGCTACCTTTCTCCAACATTTTGTCCATTTTGATCATTTGTTTCTTTTATCTCAAAGTGCGGAGAAAAGGAAGAGGTGAGCTGTAACTCTGAGAGACTTGGTATCTGCTGCTTTACCAGCTTGAGAGAAAAGGAAGTTTAGCTTATTACCCAAAGGGAAGTTTGGTGCTCATCTACAGACTTCATTTTCCTAGGTCTCCAAGTACCCTTCTGCCCAACAGCACAGAGAATGGAGCCAGTGAAGTGGAAAGTACATGAGAAAGAAGCTGTGTGCTTGCTGTCCCAGCCCCTAGGCCTCAAAGTAATGGGCTTGTTTTAGACAACCTGTAAGATTAGATACTGGAGCTGGGGCTGGTGAACCCAGGTAGGAATCTAATACAACCCTTCCATTTATAGACAGCAACAGAGCTACACCCAAATCCCATCTCCAGTCCCCTTCGACAGTAGCACATAATGTGAAAGGTATCTGAACAACTGGGAAAGTTATGGACAGGATATAATGCACTTACCTCTTTGAATAGCTGCTGTTCACAGTTGCTCAAGAAAGTCCCAAAGAGACAGCTATAAAGGTGATCCAATATTGTAATCAAGAATAGTTCATTAAATTCAAACGCTGAAGGAAACTTAAATGGAGAGAGAAATAAGGTTAAAAGTTCAGTGTCTAATAAAGAGTGGCACCAATATTTTTGTGAAAAGACAGCTAAACTGCAACTTATAATATAGTCAAAGCTTAAAAGGAACATGGGGCCCACATAACTACCTACAGTTTCAAGTCCAAGCTTTTAGATCTGGCTGAACTGGAGGCAACAAAAATTGTACTCTTCAATGCCGAAAAAAGCTTATGGAGCTCCCATTTCTCACCACGATGGTAGAAGCAAGCCCACATTCACCCTCCGGCCACAAACAACTAGAAAGCTGGACAAAAATACATAAAACAACTGTTTTCAGAAAATGGCAACTGTCAGCATGGAATTGTGACCCCGCCATGAAAAAGAGTCAAGAAGGAGAGCCCTACTGTTGTCCCAGCTTTTTGCCTGGCAGCACGTTCTAAGCTATGGAGAATGGAGGGGGGGTTTCAGGTACAGCATACCCCAGAAGTGACTTAAGGAAAACTAAGAAGTCCCTATGTATGAAAGGAACAAGTTGTAATTAAAAAACCTTCTGACTTCCAGCCAAGATGGAGATGTAGGTAGATACACCATGCCTCCTCGCACAACCAAAAGAAGGACAATAACAAATATAAAAATAAAAAACCAACCAGAACTGACAGAAAATTGAACTGTATGGATGTCTGACAACCAAGGAGTTAAAGAAACATTCATCTAGACTTGTGGGAGGGGCAGAGATGAGCATCCAGGTGGAAAGGACTTGCGGCAAGGCTGCAACTGGCAGACAGGGCAGTCCCACATTCACATGCAGATAAACTGGGAGGAACAACTGGGGAGTGAGAGAGATCATGCAACCCAGGGTCCCAGCATGGGGAAATAAAACCTCAAAGCCTCTGACTGAAAACACCATGAGGGTTGAGGTGGCAGGAGAAACTCCCATCCTCAGAGGAGAGTCCATTGGAGAGATCCACAGGTCCTAGAATGTATATAAACCCACCCACCTGTGAATCAGCACCAGAAGGGCCCAATTTGATTGTGGGTGGTCAGAGAAGTAACTAAAAACAGGCAGAGAGTGGAGCAAGCAGCATTGTTCCCTCTTGGACCCCTCCCCCACATACAGCATCACAGCAGAGCAATGTGGGTTTCCCCACCCTGGTGAACAACCAAGGCTCTGTCCTTTACTACATAACAGGCTCGTTGAGACAAAAAAAATAACCCAGCCCTGGCTGGTGTAGCTCAGTGGATTGAGCTCGGGCCTGCGAACCAGACAATCGTGGTTCGAATCCCAGTCAGGGCACATACCGGGGTTGCAGGCAGGTTCCCTGCGGGCCAGTTCCCAGCAGGGGACACACAAAAGGCAACCATACATTGATGTTTCTCTCCCTCTCTCCTTCCCTTCCCCTCTAAAGATAAATAAATTAAATTAAAAAAAAATAACCCAAATGAAAAAACAGATCAAAGCTCCAGAAAAAAATACAACTAAGTGACCAAGAGATAGCCAACCTATCAGACGCACAGTTCAAAACACTAGCAATCAGGATGCTCACAGAATTGGTTGAATATGGTCACAAATTAGAGGAATAAATGAAGGCTGTAAAAGGTGAAATAAAGAAAAATGAACAGGGAACCAACAGTGACAGGAAGGAAACCAGGACTCAAATCAACATTTTGGAGCAGAAGGAAGAAACATTCAACAAGAACAGAATGAGGAAACAAGAATTCAAAAAAATGAGGAGAGGCTTAGGAACCTCCAGGACAACTTTAAATGTCCCAACATTTGAATCATAGGGGTACCAGAAGGAGAAAAGGAAGAAATTGAAAACTTATTTGAAAAAATACTGAAGAACTTCCCTTCAGTATTCAAAACTTCCCAATCTGACAAAGAAAATAGACTTTCAGGAAGCCCAGGCAGCTCAGAGAGTCCCAAAGAAGTTGGACCCAAGAAGGAACACACCAAGGCCCATCATAATTACATTACCCAAGATTAAAGATAAGAAGAGACTCTGGAAAGCAGCAAGAGAAAAGGAGACAGTTATCTACAAAAGAGTACCCATAAGATCAGCTGATTTCTCAAAAGCAAGTTTGCAGGCAAGAAGGGGCTGGAAAGAAACATTTGTAGTCATGAAATGCAAGGACCTACATCCAAGAATATTCTATTCAGAAAAGCTTTCATTTAGAATGGAGGCCAGATAAAGTGCTTCCCCGATAAGGTCAAGTTAAAAGAGTTCATCATCACGGAGCCCTTAGTATATGAAATGTTAAAGGGACTTATGTAAGAAAAAGAAGATAAAAAATATGAACAGTGAAAGGACAGCAAACTCACAGTTATTAACAACCACACCTAAAACAAAAGCAAATTAAGAGGACAGCTAGATCAGGAGGGTAACCATAGAAATGAAGATCTCATGGAGGGTTAGCAACAGGGGAGTGGGAGGGGGAGAAGGTACAGAGAATAAGTAGTATAAAGGGTAGGTAGAAAATAGACAGGGGTAGGTTAATAATTTAAGAATTGTAGGTGCTTAAAAAAAACTCATATGTACGACCTATGGACCTGAACTAAAGGGAGGGAATGGGGGTGGGAGGGGGTGTGCAGGGCAGAGGGAAATAAAGGGGGGAAATGGGACAACTGTAATAGCATAATCAATCAAATGTATTTTAAAAAATAGAAACGCCCTGGCTGGTGTAGCGCAGTGGATTGAGCGCAGGCCTGTGAACCAAGGCATCATGGTTCGATTCCCAGTCAGGGCACATGCCTGGGTTGCAGGCCAGTTCCCAGCAGGGGACGCATGAGAGGCAACCACACATTGATGTTTCTCTCCCTCTCTCCTTCCCTTCCCCTCTAAAGATAAATAAATAAAATCTTTAAAAAAAAAATAGAAACTTTCCCACAGAAACAACTCCATGAATATATACCCCAAAATTCTCACAAATACATAAGTAAATTGAACCTGGAAATACATAAAAGGGGTACTAATATATGACCAAGTGGGGTTTATCTCAAGAAGAAAAGGCAGGTTTAACATTTGAAAATCAATAATGTTATAAAAAAATCAAGTCGTGAAATTCCCCATATTAACAGAATAAGGAAGAAAACCACACAATCATCTCAACTGTTGTGTGGTTTATTTGTTTGGTTTTTAAAAAGCTAATTGTTAATGTGGTTTTGGAGAATTCTGACAAAGACTTTTCCATTGCCAGAAGGTTCTAGCAGTAGCTGGCCTTTCTTTAGTAGCCATGAGGAGACAATCTAGAAATTATAATCCTAGCAGCAAGCATGTACTGGGGTCCCACCTTGTGCCAGAATTCCAATATTAAAACATAGTAAAATATTCATTTTCTACTTAATGAAACAAAACCAATTGGAACAAAATGAAACAGAACTGCCCAGCATGTTTTTATTTGTCAGTTTACTTTAAACACCCAGTCCTCAATCATAGTGATGTTTGCACAAGATCACGACTAATCCTGTCATCTCTAGAGTGACAACCAGGGTCACTAATAGACAAATTTATTTTTTAGCTTAAATTTATTATGTTATTAAACCAGGGACAAGCTTCTCAATGAGAAATCATGGCCAATCCAGGACTGTCCAAACTCCAACTGAAATTATTTTCCTCACCAAGATACAACACTACCCAATTTAACCAATTCTACTTAGCTATCTTGGATTAAGGCCAGCTTCTCTTTCCACCTTAAGGATTGTTCTCATAGAAACACACAACTCTGATCTATAAAGTCCCATTAGAATACCACTTCTTCAGAAACCTCTGGAAATTAGCTGTAGTGCTTGTTCCTTCTACCACTCTTGTTCTTAAATAGATGAACTAAATCAGCTAAATCTGGCTGACATGCTATAAAGATAGCTCTCAGAGCCTTTCGGATTTCCTCTTAAAACTCCAGCAATGGCCTCACATTCCAAATGGCTTTTAAAAGGCCAAGTGTATTATGTCCACTTTCCCAGTATTTTTCTATGCATCTTAGTTCTGCCCTATTTATAAATTATTGCCACCTTGAAATTTATTAATTTTAAGCAAATATATAACCTTTGTGTATATTGAAACTTTATTAAGTCAATGATAAAATGGAAAATTACTTTCAAATATGTAAAAATATATGTTTACTAACAGGACAGCTAGGGTTCTATTGACATATTTTTGAAGTTTTCATTTCTAAGCCTGCATTCTGGATATGGGAGCTCAGTTGGGTGTATTCTAGCACCACTGCCTCTGAGCCTTATTCTGGCCTAACGGCCACCAGATAAGAATAGGCAGCACTCAGCCCAAGCCTATCAGTACTCATGACAATGGAACACAAGGGTTCCATCTACTCAGCTAACGGCTATTTACATTCAAAGGGCGTTGTAACATTAAATTCAACTCAGGCAACATTTAATTAGGGTAAGTAGCAATAGGTAGAGTAATACAAATGAAAGATGAAATCTCTGTGATGCATAGTTTGTTTTGGCCCCTTCTGGAAACTGTATCATTTACTTAAAATATATGGTCTCAAACACTCCGCAGAAATGTATAATGAAACTCTGCACCTCCTGAGGGACAAAAATCTCAACAACTTATTAAACCTGTCCAAAACAGTAGACTCCATTAAAGGATTGCTATTGTAGAATGTTTTTGAGATTATTTTCTAGAGTCCCTCGATTACTTTTCCCTTAGGTCCTTTTATATCAATTTGTACACAGAAAGTAGCTCAATTTATTCTGAGATTTCTGACAACTTTACACTGAGTTAGCTAACTTGATTTAGCAGGAGACAACCTAAAAATAAGTTAATCTTGTTATATTAACACATCTTTTCTAATAATCTACATCTCATTGTGACTTAATTGATATATAAAGACTAATATGCACGTTTCTGCATCTAATGCATTAACGATATCACTTTAAGATAATTATACACATTTCATGGACAGTCTTAGATCTGTGGAAGTTATCTGAAATCTTCTAATCCAAAGCCCTCACTTTCTTTCTTAAAAACAAATAAACATTACAAAAATGATAC